TAAAGAAGGATCGAAACCGGATCGTGTTACATGCAATGTATCAAAAATATATCAAATCAAATCACAAGATACTTAAAATAAAAAAATAAAAAATGTCCAAAATTTGGCAAATCCAAAACTAAATTTCTCTTCAATTACCTGTCCCACTTATTCATATTATCAAAATTCGAACTTTGGCTTTTTTTTCTTTTTTTTTTATCAACAAAATTCAAATATGATTGAATCCGTCTACTATTTTTTTTAATTATATATATCCTATTCAATATACACGGATAAAAATTCTTTCTTCGATCTAATCTTATCATTATTTTATATTTATTTAGTCAATGTAACATAATATTTTATTAAATTTAAATTAATTGTAAAAAAACGATATCGATTTGACATTGTATAGAATAATTATATAGGGTACTAAAAAAGTTGTCTTAAAACTTAACGAGGGCCATATATTATATTATAGGATGCCTCTTCCTTAACATATATACATAGGTTTCTTAATAAACACAGGGGAGCTATGTACACTTTTGGTCATGAGTGGCTCCGTCCCTATCACTGATGTTCGGGGCTCGAAGCTTAATCCTACCGAAGCTCGATATTGTCTCTTACGAGGATTGCAATAATCGAATCAAACACGATACGAGCTTTGCTAAATTCTCGCCCGATATACTACAGTTTACCGGTTTATTAACGTCGTATGCAATTATCTACTGCTTATTAACGCTCACCGAGTGTCGGTTGGACTTGGGCTCTGCACCAAGATTTCTTTGACCTCTATTCTCTTTCAAATATATATTTAATACCTTAAATAATAAATGGGTCAAACATTTAATTATTTTATTGAACATATAATTTATGTTAAAATAAACTATTTACTAGCAAAACAAGAAAAAAGGACCACTTTTGGTGACGAAAAAAACATTCTTTTTAGTCGCACGATTCTATACTTTTGGCTACTAATTATTTTATTTAGTTATGCCAAAAAGCTTAACTTTTGCCAACCAAAATCGGGATTTGGTCGTCGAAGATCGCACTTTCAGCTCTACCAAAAATTTGCTGTCACCAACATCAAATTCTATTTCCCGCTTAGGATTTTTAGTTCTCCCGCGCTAAAAATGCCACTTTGTGGTGACTAAACTTTTTTTTGGTCACCAAGTGTATGATGTATTAGAATTGTCTTGGAGCACTTGATGGAACCTATATTAAAGTTCGTGCACCAGTCGTTTATCAAGCACGGTATAGAACACAAAAGAGGGAGATTGCTACCAATGTTCTAGGAGTTTGCTCTCAGGACATGAACTTCATATATGTGTTGCCGGGGTGGGAAGGGTCAGCTGCAGACTCTAGGGTTTTGAGGGATGCGATTAATCGACCCAATGGCTTAAGAATTCCAACTGGTAATTAATAAATAATTAACTTTGCTTGATGGAATTACTAAGTTTTAGTTAATAATACATTCTAATATATATAACATCTCATATAGGGTACTATTACCTAGTAGATGCCGGGTATACAAATGGACAAGGATTCCTAGCACCTTATCGGGGCCAACGATACCATTTGTCTGTTTGGCGAGCAGGGGCCACTCCAACTAGTTATCAAGAATTTTTTAATATGAAACATGCATCAGCCCGAAATGTCATAGAAAGGTGTTTTGGTTTGTTGAAAATAAGATGGGCAATACTTCGTTGTGCATCATACTACCCCATTAGAACTCAAAATCGTATAATCACAGCATGTTGTTTGTTACACAACCTTATTCGTCGAGAGATGCCGGTTGACCCAATAGAAGAGAGGCTAAATAATGACATAGAAGATCAACCTCAATTGGGAGATGATTTTGTTGACACCGTTGAGACATCTAATGAGTGGACTGGGTGGCGGGATACACTTGCAATGCAACTATATAACAATTGGTTGGCTAGTAGGGAGGCATGAAAATGATAGTTTCAATATTTGTAAAAGTACTTATTACAAGTATGATGTAGTTTCATTTGATTTGTACTTGGAACTTGTATTAGCTTGTGGATGTTGAACCATGTTTTGCAAAAATTGTATGGTTTTTGTTGGTGATTGCATATTTTTTAAGTGACGATATTTTTGTCTCATCGATTTGTTACATGCATGTATGGGTATGAAATTTTTTGATTATTAAATCCATTTATGTATTGACTTGTTTTGGCACATTAACAGGTTGATAATCATATAATGGAGACTAACATGCACACTTTTCTTTGTTCTTCTTTGCTAGGCATGGATAGTGAAGTGTCTAGTTCTCGTAAAAAAGTAAAAGAGAAAGTTGATCCGTCAAAACCAAGGCGATTGTGGAGCCCACGAGAAGAGCAATGCCTTATTAATGCCTTGATGCACATTGTCAACAATGGAATGAAACAGGACAATGCCTTCAAGGCCGGCTACCTTATGAAATTAGAGGAGAAATTGTTGGAGATGCTACCCGGGACAAACCTTCACGGCACTCCCCACATCAAATCAAAGATAAAGATATAGAAGAAACACTACAACTGTGTAAGATATGGAAGAAGCACTGCAACTGTGTAGTAGGCATGCTTGGTACTAGTGGTTTTGGATGGAATGACACTGAAAAAAGAAATGATGTTGAGAGTGATAGTGTTTGGGAAGCATATGTTCGGGTAAAATACTTTCTTTTAAGTGACTTTGTATAAGTTATTAATTTTTTAATTCATTTTTTTTTAATCTTAAGTTGGAGATATTAATTGAAATTGGTTATTGTAGAGGGAGAGCGATGCGAAAAATCTACGAAACAAAAGTTTTTCGTATTTCGACTCATGGATCCACATATTTGGTAAGGATCGAGCTACGAGGGAGTTTGCTGAAGGGCCGGCTGATGCAGTTGATGCTATAAATGCAGAGGAAGAATTGTTGTTCACCAGTCTTGCAGATGATGGCACATTTCTTAAACTTATGGGTATTAGTAGTCATATCGGCGAGGGAATAAATTGCTTAAGCTCATCAAGTCAACGACCACCTGAAAGTTCTACAAAAAAGAATGACAACAAGAAGAGGCCTAGAGGCAATGATGATGTAGTGGAAGGGTTGTCTATGATTGCTAACAAGTTGGGTGAGGTATTTTCTGCCACCAATGAAAAGTTGGATTTCATTGGTCGAAGAATGGGTTATGAACATGATCTCGCATCTAAACGGGCAAATTTGAATGATGAACTCATTAATTTGCCAATTACTCTTGATGAAAGGCTAGATGCTTGCGAGATCATATCACAAAGTGCTCAAAAGCTCGACATGTTCTTCAGCTCGACACGTGATGACAAACTAAGGTGAGTGATGAGGTTGCTACGTAGGAGTGCTCCATGATAGACTCGTGGCTCTTTTATGTCCTTCTACATACTTAGTTTTTTTTATTACTCTAATGCATGTAATAAGGACTTGACTTTTTGCTACTTTTTTTTGTTGAACTACTCATATTTTGCTACTTCATGTTGCAATATGCTACTTGAAATGCTTATTTTGAAATGATGAATGGTAGATTTATATTTCTACAATTTCATAGTTGAATAATTTTTGATATTTTTTTGTTCGAAAAAAAAGAGTTAAATTTTGTTTAAATAAATGCCTTTTTGAATTTGGACAATGAATGGTTGGATGATTAAAATAACAGGGCATATTTTTTAATGATTGCTTGTGTATATATAAATTTTATAGTTTAATGATTTTTTGAGTTTTTCTATTAAAAAATAAGTGGGGTTGAATTTTGTTCAAATAAATACTTTTTTGAATTTGAGCAATGAATGATTAGATGATTAAAATAGCAGTGTATTTTTTTAAATGGTTGCTTATGTATATATAAATTTTATAGTTGAATTATTTTTTATTTTTTCTATTAAAAAATGTGGGTTAAATTTTGTTCAAATGAATCGAAATGGATGTGGAGCAACAATATGAAAATTTGTTTTTTAAAAATTATAACTCATTTTAGTGCAAAATTTTACATTAATTATAATAGGGGTATTATGGTCAATATATTGGATGTCTCATAAATTGTCATGTCCTATCCATTCAAATTCCCTTAAATAAATATCGGATTGGATAATATTTTATTAATCTCTCGTTATAATCCTAACTCAATCCAAACATAGGATAGGATACACAATCCAAAGGATTCATAGTCCTAGGACTATTAGTCATAGGAATGCTAATCCAATCCAATCCAGTCCGCCCAAACAAACATGGCCTATGTTTACAATTTTTGTTACTTGCTCTGATATTTCGATTTGCAATATTTGTGAACATTATAAATCTTATATGTTTGTTTCTTAATTTGCATTAAGGCTGGGGAGAGTTGTTATTTTATTTGAGTTTTGTAGAGCGTGTAATACAAACAAAATTATTTTTTTTTTTTTGTTTTCTTTTTGATAACTCAGGGTGTCTGGACCAGTTTGCGTGCACCTCGACTAAATTGTTACAAGTTCTTGATAACAAACAAAATTATTACAAGTTCTTTAAGAAGAAAAATATTTCAATATATTTTTTCAAGATCTTTATCAAAAAATAACACAAACTTCATAAATTTCAACACGATACATATAAATTACAATTATATTTTGATCATAATATTATTTATACCGTGTCTTTAGGCACGGACATACACTAATATATATATATATATATGAAAGAACATATACGTGAAATGAAAACAAACATATTCATTAACAACTCATAATGTATGTTATTAAGTGGCTTAAAAAATTGAAGAGCCCTTATTCGATGGTCATCATTCAGTACAAGTCAATTTACTTACAAAGATAGCCACATTTATACAATAAACTATTGGATGAATAAAAGCAAACATTAAAAAATGAGACGTAACGATTCCTGGCCTTTATAGTAAAGTGACCAATGTACGGCAAAACATATGTAAGTCACGGTCAGGTAAACTGTGTCAACGAAAATTAGGGCCAACACAACACTGGATGATAACTGAGTCAACCTAGCCATGACTTGGACATGGGTCATCGCTTCAAGAACACAGGCTTGGGAACATGCCGCGACGGTGTAGATTAAGGATATGAACAAGGTAAGCATAGCACAAAAAAATCTCATTGGCAAAGCCATGTAGAAATCACTGCTACGAAACCTTGACAATTGAATTGAAAGCATCATTATCAAAGCGAATAGAGAACAAATCAGAGTCAAAGTAACGTAGAAATTGAAGACGTTAAGCTCATGTCCATTTGTATATTTAACAACTGGAAGACCAGTTGTTCCATTGAAAGCTCCAGGGATAGTAAAAAGTGCTGTGTAGTTGACGGTGCCAATGAGAACAGAAACCACCATTAGACTATTGTTCATATCTTTGAGTGCTTTCTCAGATTGTTGTCTTAGGTTTGAGTGATTTTCTTCAAATAGATCTCTCGCAGTATTCCCATTAATGTTTTCATGATCTAGGAAATGTTCTAGGAACTTGTGTTCATACCATACACGCTGCAAAAATAAATGAATAAATAAATGAAAGTATGAAGAAGAAGAATCCCAATTGATTAAGTTTATGCATAGAGTAATGATAAAATGACCATATTTATATACCACATTTTAATCATGTGATGTGATAGCAGTACATTGGTAATAGATATGAGTGGTAAAACTAATTCAACCAATCAACCTATTGTAGTATATAAATATGGTCATTGTAGCATTACTCTTATGCTCAAGGATGGAACTTGTACGTAACATTATCATCAAAATCAATTGATTTGAGGAACATGGTCAACTAGAAATTATTATGTTCACGAGGAGGGGTATCTAAAGTATATAGACTAAAAGTTTGTGTCACTTAAGGAGGTGATGCGGTAAAAATCGCGAGATAAGAGAAATATGAACCAGTTTGAGTAGCTAAAAGAGGTGATGTGAGACAAAACCCAAGATGAGACAAACATAACTGAGATAGAGACTTGGCTCGCGAGGCCTTTGATACGATGGTAGATATACTAGTTGGCTTGAGTGGAGGGACAATTAAACTACACAGACCAAATTAGAGCAACTTAGAGAGGTGACGTGGGAGAAGTTTGTAACATGGAATGGCACATGCGGGCTTATGCATGAAAAATTAGTAGGAGAAATGGGGAATTAATACCGTAAACCAACATATGTCCCATGTCATCTGGTTTAAACATCCAAGAAGAACTCTAGGAGTTGTTCCGAGTCTGGCTGCAAGATGCAATATTGTGTTGCCTTCATTATCAACATCTGCCAGCATATCTTTTTTAGAAATAATGTTCTTCATGAAATACTCATATAGAATTCTATCTTTCTGCTCCACTGCTATGTGGATTATGTTCTTTCCATTCTCATCATAGCCATATGCAGCGTAAGGGAATTTCCCAAGGATTTGGATTACCAACTCATAGATGCCATCCTTTGTTGCTTCAATAAGCGGGTTTCTCATTCTATTCAATACCCTTCCCTGTGTCTGTGTTTGTGCCTCTATCTCCGTCTTGGTCTCTGTTTGTTTAAGTTTATAATTTGTGTAGCCAATCCAGTCCCTTTCATTGCTTACCAATTTTTTTGCCAGATTACGTGCAGATATGTGCTTTTGTTTTGCATTCTGAATTCCACCAAGCCAAGCATGGACTATGTACAAACCAAAAATAAATAATAAAAAACGAAAAAACAAAGAGAGGAATAAGGCACATGTATCTATGATAAAGTAATTTTGTTACCAATAAAAACTGCAGACCTTGTGGTTGCTCGCTCTGTTTTGGATTACTCGATGGAATCCCTGCTTAATGATAGGAGAAAAAAAATTATCTTTCTTTTTCATGTCATTCAAAACATGTTATTATGTAGCTTTTATAGTCTAACTGGAAGCAAATACAAAATATTGCAAGAAAGAAAACAAAGTATGAATATTTATCTATTAGGGAAATTCAAAAAAAACTTACACTCAATGCAATGCATCGAACATGCAGCTTAACTATAGAACGGTTAGCAAGAAATCAACCAACAAAAACAAAATGATTGAATATATATATATACATATATAATTGACTAAGATGACTATCAATCAACAAATGATTGTCATAAGGTTTCCTCCTTGTACCATAAAAAGTCCATGTTTGATTGTTAACCTAATCGAATATGTCCATGTGGCAACCTAATCTAGATATTTCCTTTTAGCCATAATGCTTTCTTGCACTTTAATGATTTATTAAATTTTTTTTTTTATCGGCAAAAGAGAAGATTTTATTGATGATAAACCAAGAAAGCAGAGAATACACCAATAAGCATTGGGACAAGATGCATCATAGCTGAGCAAGAACATCCTAATGAGATTGGCACCTTCAAGACAACCCAATTAGATGCAGCCCCAATGAACAAGGAAGAAAACACAGGTAGCAAGGTGCCAACTAAGAGGGAGAAAAAACAAACATAAAGAACAAGAACAGAGAGTAAACACTGATTTATTAATGTTATTTGTTTTGTATTTTTGTGAATTGCATTAATAAATTTTTTTTTTTTTTTACTGATAAAAAAAATATAAAATAAAATTGGGCATGGCTAGATCAAGGGTCCAGCTCTTCTTTGGGAGAGGATAGGATCAAGGATGAACTCAGTTGGGAAGTAGGGACGATTGCCTCTTTGCAATTCATCAACAACAAAAAAAAAACTATATTAGTATTAGTTATTAAATTTCTCAAACAATATAGCCTTTCACCCCCATGTTTTTTATTTTAAAATTAAGTGATTACTTCCACTAGGTTTTTAAAAAGATAAAATGAAATAAAATAACAAATTTAAGTGGTCACCTCTTGTAAATCTATGAAACATGTGGATCAAAGTGGAAAATGAAAATTTTGATAATACAGAGGAAATGAAGGTTTTTTTTTTTTTCCCCTCATTTATTTTTACTAGTCAAAGGGAAGTATCAATAAGAGAGGTGGCGCCGACGAAAGAAAACAAAATTCAATCTGGGCAGTGGGATTTAGTGTTCAGAAGAGACCTTCGTCAATGGGAACTTGATTCTTTGAATGATCTGTGTGCGTTTTTAAGAAGAGTTAGATTGAATCATGGGGCTGACGATCAAATTTTTTGGAAAGGAGATAGTCAAGGTACATTTTCGGTAAAAAACATGTACTCTAATATCAATGAAAGGGGGGTCTTACTTGAGGGTTTTGGAGGGCATTTATGGAACAATTTTGCTCCTCTCAAAACACAGATTTTTTGTTGGCAAGTTGTGCAAGGTAGAATCCCATCAAAGGCGTTATAGCACCATTGGAGAAATATTCCAAATGGTGGTTGTACGAGCACGAACTATTCATCGCATGCATACTCCTCGTGATCAAATTTGAATCCCTGAAAACATAACTCTGATGAATTTACTGGTAGACGTGTGCTGGAAAGCCTCTCCGATAAGCTTACCGACAGGTGTGTGCCGAAAACCTCTTTGATGCTTAAGTTAGCTCTTAAGATCAATATGGGGAAAAGCTAAGAGTTTTGTGAGTAAAGTTGAATTACCTCCACTAGGTTAACCTCTGAGCTTTTATGTATTCTGCATGGTAGAATCATAGTAGGACTCTCATTTCTATCTGTAGAGTCCCACTAGGAATCATCTTCTTAAAGGATAATGGACATCCTTTAACACCCTGATCACCAAAGTCAAGCAAAAAGATCTAAATCCCAGGCCAGCAACTGGACCGAGCAATTCATCTGTCCAAGTTTACATAGCTACATTGACCAAGTTTACTTCAACTAAGTCAACGGGGCAAAAACTGATCCATTAAGTCGTGCAACGTTTGTCCAGTTGTGCGAATACCAGATTCATTCAACCGGTCAAACTTCTTGCTAGACGGACCAAACTCCTTTCTAGGCCGATTAGAGTTCATTTCAGGCTTATGTTAGTCCTTCCACACAGTCAGCGCGTTGGCCAAGGCTACCCAGCTAACGCCTATATCAGGCTATCCGTCCAGTCTAATACTCACTGTTTGGCCCTAGTCTTCATGTCAATTAGCCCATCTGCCCGGCCTAGAATACAGGCCGACAAACACATTGTTCGGTCCAACCTCATGCTATGTTTATCTAATCGGCCCACGACTAATGCCGCAAAGATCTTAGCCCAACCTACTGTCGTGTTTGTCTGACTGGCCCAATTGTTCAGCATAATTTCCCCTCTCAGTGGTGATACTTTGTGTTCGTTTTGTGGTGAAGGGGAGGAGACCTCTTCTTATCTACTTTTGCATTGCAAGTGGTCATGGAAAGTTTAGTCTTAGTTTATTCATTGGTGGGGGGTTGATTGGGTATGTCCAACAAATTTCTTTGGATCAATTGACTGGTGGTTTCACTCTAAATGCAAGACGTGTGCAAGACAGATTTGGGTCTCATTGTTCTTTGTGATCTTGTGGAACTTATGGCTGGAAAGGAACGCTATGGTGTTCAAAGGTAAGAGTTTTGATGGAATCGCTTTGTGCGAAAAAATCATGCTCAATGTGGCGATGTGGGTTAAATCTAAGGTGGAAGCTGGTTGTTTTTCGATGAACAACTTCATCACCAATATTGGAAGTGTGAGGACTCTCACAGTGAAATATTTAAAGATCAAGAGCGAGTAGTTGTAGACGTCCCCGAACATCCCGGGAGGAAATCCCCCGTTTTGTTCATTGGGCTCACTACAGCTCCGGACTCAAAGTCACGGTCCTGTATCTAATCTCACAGAGTGCAATGCAAGACCGATGAATCATCAAAGAGTCCAAATCCGGCAAATCGTTTTTGAAAACAGATTTTTTGAAAGAAGTGCCAAACATGGACTACTTTGCCAGATACAGAGTCGCCGCCTAAATATTTTATTTTGGGAAATTTAGGAAACCCTGACTCGTTGCCTAAGGCCACGTGTCCGTCATCACCAAAGTTGTCTCGGCTCGAGAACTTGGGTACGATTGGGGAAGGTCACTTCGTGAGCACCCCCGCTTGCCCGATCAAAGATCGGCCACTACTAACCATGATATCTAATTTTGAAAACATTATGCGTTCTTATTCCGGTTATTAGCCTAGATTTACTATGTGGCACGCACAGCATATAAGTATAGACTAGATCGCCTGAATTGGAACGAAACATCTCATGTTTGTTTATTTGAAAATGGTTTGATGGTGCTACTCGTAAGTAGGCTAAGACGTGAATTTGCAACCCTCAGGTGGGCTTAGAAAAACATGACGATTTGCCACTCTCAAGTGGGTTTAAAACTCACAATTGATGAATTGTTCCAATCCAAATAACCCAACCTTCACCCACAAGCATTCAGGCAGTTATATCACATAAGCAGTTAGCCTCATGGCAAGCATGTTATCATGGCAGTCACTCACACACATGCAAGGATGCTAAAGCATAAGTATTTACCGAGTACTCCAAGCTAAAACAGAAGCTATGTTAGAAATCCATGCATGATCCTAACTATACAGAAATGCCTAATGCAACACATGCAAAATGCAACTATAATAGGCTTGGCTATTCTACAATGGCATGTGATGATGCTACAGCTAACACGTATTCAATTTGGAATTGAAATACAAATGCAGTTAGTATGATGCGCCGAGCCTGGTGCATGCAATACAGATGAATGATGCAAACATGCAAGCATAAGTATGCTAATTGAAACATGCCCTAATCTAACCATCATAAGCTGGTAAATAAAAGGGAGAAAGACGTGAGGTTAGAAGACATGCATCACACGCACACACACTTATTACAATTGTGCCCGCGCTCGGAGGGTTCGAATAAATAATACAGTCCGAATAAATAATTAACTACTCTAGCTAATTAAATATTACAAAACCCTAATTAAATAACAATTTAACTAGGAAAGCAAGTAAATAGCGTGCAAGCTATAGACCGCCTCAGCTCTGTTCCGAATGATGAAAGATGCATGCTCGAGTTGCCTTGCGCGGAAATCCATTGCGATGTCCCGATTCGCTTCTGTTTGCAATTAATCCCGGAATGTTATGCCAGGCTCTGGAAGGCTGTTGATTTCTGATTTGCTGCAACAGAGAGCAAGAAAGGGGCACAACAAAGTATTTTTACGTATGTATGCATGACTACTCTTCAGGGAGTGTAGTCCTCGATCCTCGTGCCACCAATCACGCATCTCGATGCTTGATGGCCGAGGAGTCGAATTGCACGACTCGATGTGAAATGAATGCACATGAAAATACAACAAGACCTAAACTCCATCATGGGTAATCCGGAGTGTCGGCGACCGGGAATTAAGACACGTTCTGTCACTCGAGGTACGAAACGTCCCTCGTTTCCGTGCTTGGGCTAACTCCTATCCCAAACACAATGCAAATGAGATGGCATACACAATGCAACTAACATACAACCTAGCATACGCAATGCTATGAAATGAAATGGCATACACAATGCTCTAACATGCGACCTAGCATACGCAATGCTATGGACCG